AAAAATTCTTGCCATTACTTTAAGATTTTCTCTTTTAAAAGTTGGCTGCGGCTACTTTTTTCTTGTTACATACCCATTGAGCCAGAAATGGGCCCGAAAACGCTGAACAAAATTTGGCTTGGATTAATTATCCCAGAACACATTTTTATTTTTATTTCATGAAGAAATTAGCATATATTCTCGGCATAAAATCAGTCTGTCACCTTACAGAGGTATAGTTTGAAATCGAGTATGGTTGAATGAGGGTTAACACATATTAAAAGCACTATTTTTGTTAAGCTTCGGTTCGCTATCTTCACGTTTTTTAAAACGCTAATTTTGGGTGTAACCGAACATTTTATATTCATGCAACCTGCAAGCATCGAATCAGGGAAAATAGCTTCAGATGTTAAGAAAACTTTATATTAAAAAATGTTGCGAAACAATTCAAAATTCATTATTCGATCAAATTGTAAATGGATTAAAATCAAATTTAGTATTTTTTTAAGTTATATTATAGGTCATAGACTCACTTAGTTTTATTACTATATTTTACCTACCGTCAGCTAAAATTGTATTAAAGTCATCTTTCAATGATATATATGGAATAAAATCTCAACTGAAAAAGCTAAATTTAATATGCAATAATAAGTTGATGTGAAAACGTCCAGTGAATCGCTATTCATTGTTTTAGGAATATAAGGTTTGGACCAATGTCATTGCCACTTGCTCATTTAATTTTATTTAAGTATCACACATTTTGTCAGGTGGAAAGTCGGAAAATATTATATTATTCTGCCTATATTGGGGACAAAGACAGGGATGGGCTGATTAAGTTAATTTTGACAATGCTAAGGTATATCTGAGGTCATATTTTTAATCAATTTTATAAATACATAACCCACACATCGAACGACATGTTCGGCATAAGGTTTAATAAAATAACGCAAAGCAATATACATTGTTGTATATGTATGTAGTACTTGGGAGTTAGGGTAATTCGTAGATAAATTCACATATTTTTGGCATTAAACATAATAGTATTGGGTGTATGCATTAACTCGTGCGGTTAATTAAGACTTTATTGTTAACAAATTGTTATATATTTAATGTTCAAAGTATTGCCCATCGGAAGATACGATGTTTGCCCATCTTTCTGGCAGTTTGTGGATCCCATCGCAAAAGAACTTCTTCGGCTTGGAGGTCAAGAAAGAATCGAGCCAATTTCTGATACCCTGTTCTGATCGCATATTCTGGTCGTTTTTCCGCGATGGTCTTTTTCAAATGAATCAATTGTTTTCGGTAGAGGTTCCAATTGATCGTCTGACCCGATTTCAATAGCTAATAATAGAGCACACCCTTGTGGTCCCACCAAATATAATATATAGCATAACCTTGGCACCATGGATATTCGGCTTTGCCGTGGATGTCGATGGTTGGCCGGGCTTCACATACGATCTCTTGCGCTTTGGGTTATTATAATGAATCCATTTTTCATCGCCAGTGACAATCCGATGCAAAAATTACTTCTTTTGGTGGCGTTGAAGCAACATTTCCGACATGCAGAATCGACGTCTTTTGGCTTTAATTCATAAGGCACCCAATTTCCAAGCTTCTCGATGAAGTTCTTCTTGCGTCTGGCATGCATCTGCGTCGAGCAATGTCTCCAATTCTTCGTCTTGAAAATTTTTTTTTAAACCGAAATTGCTATTTTTAAACCGTGCAAACCACTTTTGGCACGTTCGTTCGGCTAAAGCATGGTCACCATATACGTCCAGTAAAATACGATGGCTTTCGGTAGCACTTTTCTTCATGTTAAAGTAATGAAGAAGAACTCCCCGCAAAAACACTTTATCTGGTACAAATTTCAACATTTTCAAATGAATGAAACAAATTGTTGTTCACGCTATAACAAATGACATCTACTGAAAACGACACGAAATGACAGTACCTTTAAAATGAATATAGCCACAGATGAACGCGACGCGAAATAATACTAGCAGAGCCCTCTCTTAGAAACCGCACGAATTAATACATACACCAATATATCCAATATTAATCAGTTAAATTTGTTAAGATATCTTACATATTGACTGATATATATGGAACAAGGCCAACCGGAAATTTGAGGTTTATGAGAGATAGGAGTAGTATTGACCTAATTTTAAATATTTTTGGCTATAATATACACACTATTAACAGAACAAAATGAGTTTCCCTGAGTTTCATTAAAGTACCTCACATACCGTCACCAACATATATGGAGTATAATTAACCGGATGTTTGAAAATTCTGTGATTAGTTATATGGGGGCTAGGGAAAGTTTTCACCGATTTTACTTACTTTAGGCACAAAGATACACTGTTATTAAGAAAATACGCTCTCTCACTTTAATTGAAATAACTCACATATTAGCACACACTCACATATGCAGTTTAAAATTACCCGAAAATCTGTATATTAGGGATATGGAGGCTCTGGGAAATATTGATCCGATTCCACCCATTTTTGACATACATACATACTATCATCAGTAAAGTTTTCTCTCTGAATTTTAATTATATATCTCACACATTGGCCGATATTTTCGGTAAAAAGGCAACTATGGGCACTGGGGTCCACATATTCGGTACTAAGGGGCTTTTGGTCATAAGGTGGCACACTATAGAGGGGCTATTCGTGCAAAGTTTTATCCCGATATATTAATTGGTGCTTTATTGGTATAGTGAAATTAAATAACCTGGTGGAATTTAAAATTGTGTTATATAGAAAGTAAGCGTGGTTTTACTACCATTTTCGCACTGTAACATTAGAATATTGTAGGAATGTTATGTAATGAAATTGGTTGAAATCGGTCGAGCAGTTTTCGTTATATGTGACCAAAAAGTGGTGCTGCGCCTACCGTCAAATTTTGGTACCGGCTCCTATAAATGTCTCTGACGCATTTAATCATTGTATTAATTTATCAAACTAGTTTTCAGCGAAACCGGTATATGGGGAGAGGACGGGGTTATCATCCGGTTTCACCTATTTTCGCACTTTGTAAAGGTTCAAAGTATTTGTTGAGTGCAAATTTGGGTGATATAGCTGTATTGGTTTGGGAGATACATATATACATTAAACTTATTAGGGGGCGGAATCACGCCCACTCTTTCCAGATTTTCAAATCACAGATGCTCCCGATAGTTAGATTCGTTGTGCCAAATTTGAGTTCTGTATCTTAATTTACGGCATAGTTATATATATTATATATTTCTACGTTTTCGATTAATAGCGTATGGCAGTGGTTCGATGACGACCATCTACGAACTCGTCCTTATTTTTTGCCAAGGAACATGTGTACAGAGTCATATTAAGATATCTTAATGTTGCCTCAAGCTTCCACAGAGAGACTGACGGACGGACAGATAGACATCCGGTTTTTAACTCGTCTCGTCATCCTGATTTTTTATAACGGGTGATGCAAGTAGAGGTCCTTTTTTCAATAGCCTTACACATGAGTCGTGTCATGCTGTCACATTATTTTTGTTCAGTATTGTTCGGGACTTCATCGTGAAAAGACTAACGCTTGAACAAAGTTTACAAATCGTTCAACTTTATTACGAAAATTCACGCTCTGTAAAGAATGTGTTTCGCGCGCTTTGCTCAACTTATGAGGGTTCTATTTGCAACACCATCACTCATCTTGAGACCCAGCATTCATTATTGGATAATATTCGACCGAATAGACCATATCCAGCACGAAGTGAAGAAAATATAGCGGTCGTAGCTGGGAGTGTACACGAAGACCGTGGAGAGTCGATTCGGTTCGCAGCAACTTGGGCTGACTTATATAACGAAAGCGTACAAAATACAGCTTCAGCAAGAACTAAAGCCGCTCGACCGTCCCAAGCAACATCGCTTCGCTCTATGGGATCTTAAAAAATTTCTAGAAGATCCGACGTTTTCAAACCAAATTTTGTTCAGTGATGAGGCCTATTTCTGGCTCAATGGGTGTGTAAGCAACCAAAATTTCCGCACTTGGGACGACGAGCAACCTGAAGAGATTCAAGAGCTGTCATTTCATCCAGAAAAAAACAATATTTGGTACGGTTTGTGGGCCGGTGGAATCTTCGGTCCATATTTATTCGAAAATGATGGCGTTGAGAACGTAACCGTCAATATCGCGCCTTGATAACCGACTAGCTCGTGATGTCAATGATATTTGGTTTCAACAAGACGGCGCCACTTCCCAAACATCGCATCAATCAATGGATTTATTGAGAGAACACTTCAGTGAGCAGATAATTTCACGTTTTGGGTCGATTAGCCACCAAGATCGTGTGATATCACACCATTAGACTTTTTTCTGTGGATATATAAAGTCTAAAGTCTATGCGGACAATCCCGCTTCAATTAAGGTCTTCGAGCGAAACATCACGCGTGTCATTCGCCAGTTACCAATCGAAATGCTGAACAAAACTTGTATACCCTGTAGCAACATATTGCAAGAGTATAATAAGAAGTATAGAATTTAAATAGGTGTCTTGAGTTGAGGATTTAGAATTTAGAATTTAGAATTTTTTTTTTTAAACAACAAAAGCACTTTTGTCATATTCGAATACCCAGTAGTAGAACAAGATTGTAAGAAAATTAAGATCACCATATGTTACATACTATATATTATATGCATTTTATTAACCAAAATATGTAGTACAGAATAGTGCCGCCAAGTAAGGCACTATTCTTTAGACAACAAATACAGACGGTCACATGCCATCAAGGAATTTGATTAGATAAGTATAAAATACTATATTTTCTAAAATCTGAAGAATATTCTACATGTTTTAACTTAATTCCTTTAATGTGAGCTTAGTCCTAAGAGCAGCAAATACTATAAGGTAACATTGTTTCTGACAATATACTCGTACTACTAACGCAAAAATAGCTTTCACAAGAAATTAACCCATGTTTTCTCATGCGCGTATTAAAGTTTATCAGACCGTGATATTAATTCTCTTAACTTATTACTTCTGTGATATATGGAATGTTTAAACAGTAATCATTTCGTTCTTGAATTATTTGAACATAAAAATTTTCACTTGTTTAGAAATATGTGTTTTTTATTATTAAGTTATTTTTTAATACATGGATTTTGTAGTATTAACGCATCTGGTAAATATTAAATAAGTAATATATTCGCTTTATCATAAATTAAAAAACGTTTTAAATATATTCAGAAGGTAGTTGTTTTTTATTACATAAAGAAAAATGTTACAAATCAATGCAAACCAGACACGCTGGCAAGATTATTCCGAAAACGTATTTGCAAGCAACTGCAATAATGGAATATCACAGGTTAAATTCACTAAATAATTTTTTATGTATTTAACTGAAATATTTTATTTAGACGAATGCTTCATAATTTTATGGTACTGAACTATGTTGCCAGAAATATGATTTCTTTGCATGAAGAGAGAATTCCATATGAAGACAACCGAGTCAACTTGTGGAGTGATGAACAAGATGAAAGGAAAAATCCGGAGGACGACACTTTAAATGATGTAGATATGTTGAAATATATATTATGGCTAAAAAGGTATGTTGATTAGCATAAACAATTGTCTTAAATAATCCAAATTCCTTTTAATAAAGGAATTATAATAACCGCACTGGAAGATATCGGCGATTTCCTAATACCTTTCATAAGAGGCATCAGGAGTTAGATATCGTAAACATTACAGGCTACGCACTATATCAACACCCATATAAATATGTAAGTAATCAGATACTAATAAATGTAAATTATTTTTTGATTTGGTCTTTATATATGCATATTAGAATAGGAGTGTATATTTAGTTCCAAAGCATACAGCGAGACATATTTTCATAGATCCTCACGCAAAAACAAAAACTAGTAAGTTTTCTTTTTAGAAATTATTTATTAACTACTAAAAAAATTAAGTAAATATTTAACCCATACTTATCATGGAATGACAACATTATTTATACCTGAGCGCAACATGTTACACAGGATAGTTTTTATTGCTTTCAACAACATGAAGAATTGAGATATACAAGTATAATATATAATATAATATATAAAGTAAGAATATATTAAGACCATGCATAAGTAAGGAAATACCCAGAGTGGGTGTATGCAAAACTTTTTTCGTTATTAAACAAAATAGTGAGTATATTACAAAAGCTTCTAGTGCCATATTAATACCTATTATAGCCCAGTCGTCGCAGTCTCTAATTTTTCTTTCAAAGACGTTACCTAATTAAGTTGGTACTGATGGAGATCAGTAAGCTTTGAGCAGCTTAAGTCTAAAACAGTAGCAATGAAATGAAGGGGAATTTCGTCCTATTTTTATTTTGTCTTCAATAACTGTTAGAAGGCTTCTCGGTACTGAATCCTCAAAATTTTGAAGAATCTTTTCCCAAAGGTAATTATCTCAGAAACTATTTTTTCTTTGTTTTTATTTCGTAAAAATAATATTTTCATAAAAGACAAGACGTTTTCTTTAATATTTAAATCTGGACTTTAAGGTGGCCAGTCCAAACTGATAACACCAACACTTGGTGCTTTTTACTGTCCAGATTTTGAATTTGGCTATTACAACACTGTAAAAAAGAAAAAATTAAAGTAGCATATATAAAATAAGATAAAGTGAGAAAAGAGGGAACAAAACAAAAACTGTAAGGAAGAATAAAGTTCGGATGGAACCGAACATTTTATAATCTCCTATTATTATATTTTTCAAATCGAAGTCGTGGGCTCATTTTCATATTTTCAGGTGTTGCCAAAACTTTATATTAAGTAAGAAAGTAAGGGTTCAATTCCGGTGTTACCGAACATTTTATACTCCTGCGAATTGCAAGGATCAAAGCCGGAGAAATATCTTCAGCTGTTGCAAAACTTTATATTGAGCAAGTAAGGAAGTGCTAAGTTCGGGTGTAACTGAACATTTCATACTCACGCAAGGATCAAAGCCGCGGAAATACTGGCAAAACTCTATATTAAGGAAAGTTGTGAAAGAATTCCACATTCATTATTCGACGAAATGGTCAAAGGATTACTATCGTGTTTGGGATCTTATTAAATATATTAAATCATATATTATTAAATGTTTATGATCAACTTTAGATTTGGGATAGCATATCATAAAAGCAATATTTATACATTATTTTATCCCAACATATTCGTTGGTACTCGATTTGTATACGGTAAAGTGGAAAAATCATACGGAATTGGTTGTCGTCCGATTTCCTCCATTTTCGCATCATTGACATCAAAGCAATGTCAGGATAATTTTAAGAACCGAATTTGGTTGAAATTGGTCCAGTCTTTCAGGAGATATGGGTTTTCACTTAAAAGTGGGCGGTTGAATCGGATCAATAATTCACTTTGCTCCCATATACCCAGTAAATTGATTTTGAACTACTGGATGTCTTTATACCTTTATAGAGGAGTAAGAGTGAGAAATGTCCGGTTACACCCGAACTTAGCACTATCTCACTTGTTACCAACTTTTTTTATACTCTTGAAACATGTTGCAACTGAGTATAATAGTTCTGTTCACCTAACGGTTGCTTGTATCACCTAAAACTATTCGAGATAGATATAGGTTTATATATGGTGTATATAAATTATCAGGATGGTGAGAAGAGTTGAAATCCGGATGTCTGTCTGTCCGTCCGTCCCTTTGTGTAAGCTGTAACTCGAGTAAAAATTAAGATATCTTGATATAACTTTTTACACATGATCCTTGACAAAAAAGTAAGGACGAGGTCGTAGATGGATGTGATCGAACCACTGTCACACCAACGCTCTTAAAAGCGTAGACAATTAATTGAAATTTGGAGAGAAAGCTTTACTGATGATAGTACAATATGTTTGTCAAAAATAGGTGAAATCGGGTCAATATTTCCCAGAGCCTATTAAGTGAGTTATCTCAATGAAAATGAGAGAGCGTATTTTCCTTATAACAGTGTATCTTTGTGAATAAAATAAGTAAAACCGGGTAAAAACTTGCTCTTGCTCCCATATAACTAATAATCACAAAATTTTCAAACATCCGGTTGATTTTACTCCATATATGTTGGTAACGGTATGTGAGGTACTTTAATGAAACTCAGGGAAGATTTTGTTCTGTTAATAGTCTCATATACCTAACATACGATTTTCAAACTTTCGGTTGGCCTTATGCCATATATATCAGTCAATATGTAAGATATCTTAGCGTAACTAAGTGTTTCATATTGGCTATACTATATTTCAACGTATAATATGGGATATACTATAGTTTAATGCCGAAAATATTTGAATCTAGTCTATGAATTACCACAGTGCCCAAATTTCCGACTTTCCACCTGAGTAAAAACACGTCAAGTGGACCCCCCATTTTCCACTTGATCATTGAATTTGAATGTGAGTATTTTTTCATAAAGTAGTCATCATAAGCAAGTAATCCCCTGCTCAGTTTTTTTAAATTTTAATTTTAACAACAATTTTTTTTTAATTGAAAATTTTTTCTACTTTTAGTTAAAAAATTAATAACTAGAAAACTATTGGTGATTTTTTAATGAAATTTTCAGGAGTTATAGTTCAAATTCTTACTTTGAAAAAATGTATGAATTTAAATAATTTTTTTGTTCAAATTGTTAATTAACTTTTAAGTTAAGAAATGAAAATTTTAATGACTTCTCCCTCAAAAATTAAAAATTTTTTTTTTAGTATTTGCATAAACATTAAAGTAACGAAATCCGCAAAAATTTGACCGATCGCGATTAGATTAAGCAAAAAAAAATTTTGATGACGGGCGGTAGCGCTGCGGTATAGCGCTCCAGGTATAGCGGTTCGGCAACGCCAACACTTAGAGTGTGTTGCATATTCATTTGTATGTTGGGATGATGGTCTCACATTTTGCTTGCAGTGTGATTGCATGAATGTGGTAGAACAATATGCATAATACCTACCCGCTTAATAGTTTCAAAGAATACTTAAGACGGGAATTCCCTAATCCAATAATATATACCTTCATTTTTAATTAAAAATATCGTTATTTATGATTAATTTTATTTCAACAAATGAAGAATAAATAAATAGCTTTTCATAATAAAAAAAAAGTTAAATAATTCTTAAATAATTCTTATAACTTATACGTATTGCCTTTATTTTTTTTTTAACTTTATTGGTAACGATATTTAAAGTCTTTGCAAGTTTTGCCGATCTCGCATTTAAAACATCTTGCATTGGAGGCTTCTATGATGCTTTCGAACAAAAAAGATTATTTTTAAATGCATTCTTACCATTCAAATATGAAGTTGCATTGGTTATGTGCCTATCGCTTTCCCTTTGAAGACTTGCACGAAAAGCTGCCTCTTAAAACTTCCTGCCAAACCATCACATGCTCCTTTCCCATGAAAGTAGCAAAAATTCCATTCCGCGTCCACGTGAATCTTTTTATGATTTATTAAATTCACAAAATATAACTTATTTTGTACTGAGAAGCAGCTCCGTCGAAAAATAGGAAATCTTTTTTATTTATCCGCTCCAAACTTATTTTTTAGAAATTTTATCAATTTAAAATTAAAAGGTGAACTGAGCTCGCGTCGTGACAAACTTTTTCCGAAATTCCACGTAGTTTATATGTTTCATTTCTTCTTTTCTCTCTAGTACACAACGTAAGAATGAATTATAGCCTGACTGGTATTCAATGATGAGATTGGATGGCATTTTGAACAGTAAAAGTATAATTTTTCAGAAAAATCAAGGCAAACGATAAATTCTCCATCCTCAACAGAATTTTTCTTGTCAGTAAAATATGACGCTTGAGATCGTGCAAGGAAATCATGTCTCAACAATTCAGGCATTTTTGTCTTAAATATAAAGAAAATCTTCTTTTGTCTTCGTTTCTTCAATGATTTCAGTTCTAAAAAATTCAAAATAAATTAACTGAATTAAATAATAATAAATGTGATAATCAAAAGAATTAACATTTAACATATAAAATCTAATAATTTCATTATTAATATGTAGATTGCGTAACAAATATAAAGAATTACTCAGTGGCGTGAATATAAAATTATTTGATGACCATATTACAAAAATTTTAAAAGAAAAGGAGAAGATTTGAGTGAAATTTCTTTACCTATCAGTACTTTTCCATTGGCTGTATGTAATTTCATTATTTTATGGTTATTAAGCAATAGTTCAATTTGTTTATAATACTATCACTTCCTGGCACTTAGTACACTTTGAAAAGTACAACAATGATGCAGACTCTTGGCAAACAGAGCTTTTAATTAAATCATTTGAGCTTTCGAAATAATTGTCCCCTTTTTTTAATTCATTTTTAAATCCAGCTAATTGCAATTTGAAATTTTATGGATTTTACACACACACACATTATGAGTTCCACTTTTGCCAGCAGATATACATTCCGAGGTCGGAGTTTTTGAAATTGGATAGTCCAATCTTTTCGTCAGGATAAGCTTCTTTACATTTTTGTGTATTTTGTGAACATTAATAATAATAGTCGTTTTGTTTATGGATTTTCTTCCCATTTTCAATCACGAAACATAATCTTTCATACAGGCATTACGCGGCTGACATCATCGGATAGATAGAAAGCTTCAATACGATCGAGGGTTTCAATGTTTAGAGATTTACTCTCTTAATCATATTGTGATGCGAATCCTCGTTCTTGTCGTATTTTTTTGCAGTTCTCACCATTCGTTTGGAAACTTTAAACTCTTTCCTTATCATTTTAATCGCCAATCTGTAGGAAGCGTAGTCAAAACCTGAATTTTATCAGCTACTAGTTTTACCATTGAAAGCAGATTTAAAGTTATTAAGTAAAGCTCTTTTGGATCAATTTCACTATTTACATTGTAAATTTACTCACAACA